TCCACTCAGTCCAAATATATCGTAGAGAAAATGCTTCAATGACAATATATTATATTTTACACGCAGTATAATAATATGTCACTAACAATACAATAATGGTGCATAATGTTCCTTGACGTGACATTAGAGCTGAATGTATTGCCTTCGATGTAGCTTATTTTATACTAAAAGCTTTCGGAAAGCAGATACCACTTCTCTCCAGCCTTTATTGTTTTTTTGCTCTATGTAATGTCTCTGAATATAATAATATAGTTTCTTTGATTATAAAAAAAAAAAAAAAATACTGTTTTTAATGCAATATTGGTACAGAGAAATTTGGTAAATACAGAGATTTTCATGAAAGTATAGATTGTTAAAATTAAAATAACAATAATTACAAAAATCGAGTTTGGCTTTTGCACAGATATGAAAAATTAAACAATATTAAGTATGAAATTCTAAATAATCCAATAAGAGTTCAAATATTACAATTAATAAACGTTTATTTCTGTTGCATGAAAAAAAAAAATGTAAAAAGATTTCGTTTCTATGTATTATTAATTATACTATTAAATTGTCAAAATATTTAAATGTAATGTAATGGGGGATTAAATGTTTATTTTATCAATATTTAAATCATCATAATTAAATAATAACTTATTACGCTGTATTATTTTCATTGAAAAATAAGTGAATAAAGTATTCTATTTTTATTTTTATTTTTAATAAAAGTGGTTAGAAATTAAAACCTTTTTTTTGTAATAAGAATCAATACAATTGTATTAAATTACCCTTGACAAATTCTAAAACTAAAACTATAATAAAGTTTTTATTTTAAATTTCACTAAAATTTAAAATTGGTTACATACATAGATTATAAAATACTTTAGTAGGTAGGCGTAATAATATAATAAGTTCTCTTATAGTTATTCTTGAAATTGTAATGACTTAGACTAATTTCTTGTGAAAATCAAACTATTGATAATAATTATTAATTAATACACTATTGATAATAATTATTAATTAATACACTATTAATAATTAGTAATTAATATTAAATATATAATTTATTTTTTTAAATAAATACCTAATTGGTATCATACCAATTTTATAAGAAGTTTGAAGCATATAAAAAATATCTAATTTTTAGAAATATGTTTAATGTTAATGGTTAAATATCCTGGACTGCAATTGAATATTTTTAAATTACAAATACTTATTTTTATTTTTATAATATTTGTGGTAGTTAATTTAAGATAATTCTTTTATTTTATTTTTGATACTAAACATAAATTTTATCTAAAATTAAATAATACATTTTTCTTTAAAAAAAATATTAAGCTACTTATTTATTGTTATTGTTATTTTACAAATAGTATATAAAAATTGTATTTTATTTTATTAGCTAATATGCACGTACCTATTATAATTTTAAAAACGTCTTCACAATAAAAAAATACTAGACTTTAATTACATTATCCTAAGAATAAAAATATATGTTTATAATTATAAGTTTTTTCCATTAGGTTTTTCGAATTACTCATACTTTTTACAAAATTATTTTAAAAATGAGATTTGTATACATTTAATTTGTTTAAAATGGACATTGTACTTAGCATATAATGTTCATGTAGTGTTTTAAATAGTATTTCTTCAATGATTAAAATCCAGTAAATAATATTATTATGTTTAAAGTAGATCATAATTATATGAGAAGTTTTTATTTAAAGCTTAAATAATCAAAATTATTAAGGTACTTTTAAGGTGATAAAAGTTTTAAATCATAAACAAGTTTTTATAGATTATAAGACAATTTTTTAAGATTTATCACAGGTTACTCAAATATATTCATGGGAATTTTATGAAAAATAAGACCTTTATATATGTTATTATTGACTTTTCATTGATATTCTTTTTTATTTTATTTTCATTGGTTTTATTTTATTTTTATCTTGATAATAATCTTGTTCTCTGGACCATAGACAATATAATTTGAAGTTAATTTCGTAAAAACTAAATTATTAAGAATCATATTACATTTTTTAATTAAAATATCTTTTCAATTGTGTTTCAATTCTAATATTTGATTAATTAGTTTTGGAATTGGTGAGTATAAAAATCAAGTATATATATATAGCTATATTAAATTAGTTTTTAAAATATTTTGTGGTAGTATTCCTGGAAATCTTTTTACATTCACTGAACTTAGTATATAGTTGTTTTATACTACCCATTAAATTATCGATATTAAATTCAGACTGAAGATCAGTGCATGGTAAGGGTTTGTATGTTTTTTTCCGTAGAAGTATTTCATCCAAGGGGGAAAAAAAAACAATAAAAGTCAAATCCCGGTTTCATTTCGGTCGGATGGCGCAGCCTACAGATTAAGGGACAGAATAAAATTATAATATAAATTTGTCTGGGTAAGCATAAAAGATAAAAACGAGACGGCTCAGAGTTGAAAAAAGTGATTTTAGATGTACAGGGCATGACGTTTTAGTTATCATCGAAGAAATAAGAATTTAATGAAATTCAAAAATGAACATTTGAAAATAGAACAGGATTTATTTATTGAAATTATTCCAAGATAACTTTTATGATTATTAAATTAATTGATTTATAACATTAAAATATTTTAAATCACTAAGGCCGAATTTCTAAACATAGGTAAAAATAAAAACTATTTATTTTTTATTATGTATAAGATATTAATATGTATCTATGAAACCATTATATATTGTGCAATTTATTTTAAGGATAGTTGAGATAATTTTATATAAATATCCATAGGTACGCAGTATAAATTAATTTTAACACAATTAAGTATTAACACGTTCAATTTTATTTGTATTTTTTTCAACAAATGAATTCATAATTAATCATGGTTTTTCATATTTTTTTTATACATAGTTCTCAAATAAGAATTTCTTATACTTGTTTTGATTCTCATTAATGTTATATAGTTATAATTATTTATTTTATACACATTTTTATTTTTGGGCTTTTTGATGGCTTTGAATGACTTTTTATTTTACAGTCATTGATTTAAAATATAAATTGGTTATAAGCTTTATTTATTTGTTGTGAACATAAATAATACAACAATTTAAAATAGTTTATTATATCTCTTCGATTTTATTAGTTGGGTATATTATATAATTGATTGTTCATTTTATGTCTGATTACTTGCAGTAGAAGAAAAGTAAGTAATTTATAAAAATAAAAATGAATCACACAAATTAGAATACAATGTTGTTGAAAATATCATGACATATTTTTTATAATTTATCTAAAATGCTATTATTTTATTAATTTTAAACTTCGTTATTTTAGATAAAATTTACTGAATACATTATTATTATTATAATTAATATGTCTGCATTTTTACCTAAAATTTTGGATTTAATTTTACTTAAAAGTAAGGTACACTTGTGTTACTCTATTTTACTTGTTTAAATTTTAATTGTCTACATATTAATTGTAACTAATTATAATTACTCGAGTATAACTTGATTTTTATGTAATCGAAATATTCAAAAATATTTAGGGCAACCAACAGATATTTCTATTCTCAAATTATAATTAGATTAATAATTTACCTTAATATATATTTTTAATAATTTTGAATTTTAATAGTTTATCGAACCTTACGTTGAAGGTCGATTCCAAATCTTAATTGTTATTATACATAAAACATTTCTCGTGAAAATTAATATAAAAATTTTGATGAAAAATAGTAGATTCTGAATTGAATGTTTAATATTTAAATACATATTGAACGAATAACTTAACATTTTTAAATAAGAATAAATAAGAATTTTGTAAAAGAATGTTTGTTTAAGTATATAACCTTATCAATATGTATTATTCATTTCTCACAAATCAGTTATTGGTTTTTTTTTTTAAATTTTTCCATTGAATATTAATTAGACACGATAGATATACCATCTACACATCAAAGGGCATTATTATTTCTTACTTTCTTAGGAATGACTTAAATTTCTCATTTTCTCATTTTAAATATTTGGTTTTAGAGCTTGAATACGTTTGTGATATGTAAATGAGCTTTAAGTTTTTAAATGAAGTAGATCTTAAAACAAGTTTGAAAAATATCTATGAAATAATATAGTCATGTAGATAATATAATTGTTAATTGTTTGAAGATCGTTCGTAATAATTACATACAAAGATTTTTTAAATTTAATTTGTGACTTGGTTTGGTTGTGAAGTATAAAATTGATTGTACTATAGTGGAATCTTCCTTAACGGACATCTCTAAATAGCGGACTCCTACAAAAAGCGGATTTTTTTCTGAAACTGGAACATTTTCTTTGTTTATTTATAAAAAAAACTTCTAAATAAGATATATTTAAAATAACGCGTACTTTTATGGTTAGAGTTCGATAATTTTTTACCGTAATTAGTTATTATCTATGTATATTTTATCACAATGAACAATTTTAATTTTTATACATTATTATATTATTACAGCTTGTTTTATCCGTCATAAAAAATGATCGACACATTCGGTAACTGATTTTGTTTTTAATAATAATACACATTAGTGTATTCATATATACAAATAATTTATATTATGTATTATATTTATATATGTATCATAATTTCTATATAATATTTTTAAATTGTTTGTTTTTTATATAAATAATTTATTTTAAAGAAGGTTAGGTTATGTTTGTGCGGTAATGGAAAGCACCACTATGAAAATTTAAATTAAGTTCAATAATAACTTTGATTTAGATATGTCATATATTTTTATTAATCGATTTAGATTAATACATTTATTTATTATTATTATTTTTTTGTACACGAATGAATTAAATTGTTAATAAAAGTTTCACAAATCACCACGTATTAGCTATTTTTTTTTTTTTGTAAATTGTTTTGTTTGTCTAGTGAGCGTGTGCGAAGGGATGTGGGCGTCTTATATTCCGACGCTTTAGTCCTGCGCGGTTGTGCGACACACCAATCACGTTGTCAGCACGTTGGCCAGTTGGCTTCAAACTCGCAGACCGGGACTGTATCGCGTTGCTTGTGTATTTTTCCAATTACGAAATATTTCGTTATAAATTAAAAAAAAAAATAACAATAATAATTTGAATTGAAAATGTATAGTCTAAAACATAATGTATCACCAATAAAATGATAAAGAACATCTATATATAATCTGTACTAACAAAACAGGTATGTCAAAGTATAAACACGCAGTAAGTGATACCTGCAGTCGTATATTAATTATCTCTGGGTATAAATAATATAATATATTTTAAAATACTAATAATTATATAAATATACTTATATATTGTATATTATACATTATATATAATAAATATAAGTATTAAAAACTCATCAAGTTTATTTTTTTTTGTGAAACCATGTTCAAAACACGAACTTAAATTACTTTAATCTTTTATAAATTGTAATAATGCTAAGGTTATATTAAAATTATTACTCAATTACATTTTAAATCGATATTTATGTACTTATTTCAATCTTATGGTATTTATACTCTAAATATGTATCTAATCGTACATACATAAATATGTAACACAGCTATTATATACTATATATATAATATATATTATATTGATTCATTAGTAAATATTTAGATATAAAAATTTATTAAAAATTTACGAATATATTTTTTCAAAAATAAAAGATATTATAAACATAAAATTGTCATATTCGGAAAAATTTGACACTTTAAGCTTTAAATAGTAATTTATACATTTATTTTTAGAATTGAACTACACAATTTCGTCATGATTTCAAATTCAGTCAAATTACTTGTAATACATTTTGGTCTTATACTTGCATTCGGAAATTTTGGTGAGTACAAATATATATTTTTCCTAAATATAATAATAGTTATACAACTGGAATTAGTTTTTTATAGTATGTATACAAGATATTATGTTCATATAAATTATTGTAATCATATTTATAATTATTACGGAAATTAATTATGTAGAAAAAATTTTATGAAGTCAAAAAAATGTATGATTTAATATATTAGGTTATATTTAGTAAAACGTCAATTAATATGTTGATATATATATATATATATTGTTAGCCTAATCTTTGGTGAATAGATTATTATAGATCGGATAAGTTGTAATAGTTATAGATATTTTGTTTTAAAACAAAACTTTTAAGAGGATAATGCTTTTTTTTGAATTAAATAATAATTTTTTTTAAACTATGTCTATAATAATAAACTTATGCTCAAAAATAACATTATATTCAACATTTTTAAAATATATTACAGTGATAATACATTAAATTCTTGCAAAAAAATCTTTTGACGGCAGTTTAAAATTTTTCGTGTAATGTTCTAAAAATACTTTTCTTTACTCCAAAGTTTAAACTGTAATTTGATAAGTTACCTCTTACCTTTTTCGAATCCGGTCTATCAGGTTAGTACGAAAAGATCCCTAAAGGATAGCAATACCTTAACAACAACTTTATAGTGTCAGGAATTTCGATTTTAAACGTGATAGTGTTTCAACCCGTCACTCTAAGCAGTAGAACCCTTGAGATTTTGTTTAACCCTTTTAAATCCAATTTTTGTGAATGATTATTTTTTATTTAAAGTAAATTTTATTTTCGTTTATTAATTTTGATGATCGCAATTATTTAAAACTTGATTTTATTCATAAATAGATAACAATATAGGTCCTTAATTAGTTGTTGTAAGTAATAAAATATACAATTAAAATGTACACTATGTTTTATGTTCTTATATATTGTAAAAAGAGTTTATTTAAAAATAATGGAATTACATTTTTTTTTTTGATACAAGTATTGTAATTAATTGCAGCTTTTGTATTGAAATAATACAATTTTTTATTTGTTTTAAAATTCATCTATTGAAGTACTTAAAATAAATTACAAACCACCAATGCATGAAAAAAAAATGTTTAATACTTGTATAGTTATATATGTCAATGATTTTGATTCTTATAAATAATTTAGGTTTTGGTGAATATAAAATGATATAAATAATATATTTTATATATTTTAGTACTTTAAATTTATATATTAATGTAGGAATAATGTGTTATTATATTTTTATCATTCAATGTGAATGTGATTTAGATTTTGTGGTATAAAGAGTGTAATATTTTTGGTTTTGTAATAATTTATGTTTTATTATTTTTAATGAATTTTTTGTATCTCTTTAAAGTATATTCTCATAACTTTCAACATTAAGGATAGGTATTAACGTTAAAATCTAATTTAATTAAGTTGGATTTAATTATGGGATCGAAAATCTAAAAAATCTTAGTACTTATCTTTGTATTTGGAAAAATTGAAAGAAAAAGAATACCAGTTTACGACAAATTAGATATTGATAAAAAAAGAAAAAATAATTGTTAAGTCTTGAAATATTCACTAAATATTTATATCAGAGTTATTATTTCATGATATCATTTTAAAATATTTTGGTTCTTTTTAAGCAATTTAGTATATTTGAAAATTATATGAAAAATATCGAAACCATTTTGAGGGCGGAAGAGGTAAACGAAAATTAATGATTTTTCCTTAATTGCTTAAGTTATTTTGTTGCAGTTAAAAAACAATAATTTTAGAAACTTGAAATTTTTCATTATATTATAATTTTCTACAAAAATTATTATATTTTTAAAATAATATTTAAGTCTAACTTAAAATTTTACGATATTCATACCATGAACTAATTTATACTGTTTTATAATATATCACTTTATAAGTATCGAATTATTTATACAAGAATTTGGTAACAATTAGTTCAACCTATCAAATTATGAAAATTTAAATAAAAATATAAATACGTTATAAAAATTAAATTATTCTTCAAAATATACGCAGATTTTCTTCATTCAGAATTTTTTTCATGTACAACTATTTACTTTTGAACCCACATTTAACACATATTTTTCTATTAAAGTAATCTACTCAGTGTCGAAATTCTAGGTTTTAATGTTTTGAATTATATTTAATTGTATCGTGTATATACTTATAATTAATTTAATATAATTACCGACTTATTACATTTCTATGATTATTATTTATACATTATTATGTTATATTCTATAAACAAGTATAGTTTATGGTTTATATTTATTATAACCCAATTGATTTTAATGAAATGATAAATTAACGATATCATTTACATACTGAATAAAAAATAATATTAAAATCTAAATTATTTAATAAATACATAATCTGGGGCTTTTTTTTTTGGTTGAAATATCCTAATTAAATTATGTGTTATAGGTATTTCATTCAATAACGTCTAAACAGTTTAAATGGTCTGTTTTAATTATAACATGTTTAATGAAACTGTTATTTTAATTACATAAACCAAATAATTTAGTATTATATTTTTAGTATATTTATACATTTATTAATTAACAAATTTCCTTAAAAAAAATCTGATCATGAATATACCAATAATATAATATAACATATAAATCTTTAGTATAAAAGCGACTTTGGAATATTGTAATATTAAAAAGTACTTTAATTACTTTCCGTAACAACTAAGTAAGTTTAAAGTGCAAACGTGTCCATTTCTTGAATATTTTGGTGACTGTGCAATCTTTGAAAGTATGTAATACATAAGTGATGTATATAATGTGGATCATGTTGACATAGTTGAATAATTTATAATGGGTTATCAAATATCTTTAGTCAAGTGTTGTCGTTTGTTTTCCTGGTAGAACTAAGGATGGTTTATTATTGTGAATTTTAAGCGAAGACAACCACGAAAGGAATTCTCATATGTGTGTTAGGCGAGAGGATAAAACGGTGTCATCACCGACTCCATAAATGTTATTAGATGAAATTTGTCATCTGGTAAAATATGTTTAGGTTTACAGATTCAAAGACAAACTATATTAACAATACCGCAGTCCGCAATGCTTAGTTTTACCATGACCGCACGTATGTTAGAAGTTAGAAGAACATGTAGTTGAGCATAATATTCATAACAATAATTTAAATCTAAATTCATATAGATGTGATGTGTATACGTTTTAATGATAATCATTTAATAGATGTGTCTTAGCTATTAATTTTTCTATTAAAATTAAACTAATTGATTTATGTAGATAAATTATAAGACAAGTGTATTTATAGGTGAATATTATGAAGATGATTTATAGGAAGCCTAAGATTTTATTTTATGGTTATTGATTCATTCAATCAAATACTTGCATTAGAAATTCTATGAAAATACCAATACTAAAAAAATAAAGTACCAATTTATGTATAAAAAATTCATAAAATTTAATAGTATTTACTATGATTTAAAAACTGAATCATTAAATAATTGATAAATATTTAACAAACACTATTTGAATGACTCAAAATTAAACGTTATTGTCTTTAGGATAAACTTTGTGCTCTAATTATTGTATTGCATACATAAATTACAAGTACGTATATTTATTATACATGATTATAATATACTTAAATGATATTAAAAATTAAGATTTGAAAAATTGTACTATTTTTTTTAAACAACTATTACGATTATAATTTAAAAAAAACTATGTAAACAATTAGATTACATTTTGTGTGAATCAAAAACTTAAAAAAATCTATTATTCTTGAACAGTTTTCATGAAATAACTATTTAAAGTTGTTTCATTGCAAACTTCTAACAGGATTTTCTCAGAACAAAGGCTTATTTTGGCTTTTACAAACTATCTAGAATACAAGAAAAGAGAAACGTAATATATGAAATTGTTGAATAATATTGTTTAGAAACTTTAAGAAACATATATAATCCACTGTTTAGTATTTTGTTTAGGTATAATTTATATATTGAGTATGTATAATACTTCATGTGTTTTGAAATAATTCGATTATTCCAATTTTAAGAATAGTGTATTCATAATTATTTTATAAAAATTCAATACCAAACATGCAAGTAATCAGTTTATAGTGTATTGTATTATTACAGAAAATGTAAAAAAATTATGTCTTTGACAATTATAAAATATTTTTAATATTTTTTCAATAGTTAAAACTACTTTAAAACGATTTCAATTCAAGTTCTTCACCTATTTATTTATTATGCAAGATTAAAAAAATTTTTTCTAAACAAAATAAAATATATTTTTTTAATAGATTAAACAATCATGTGAATATGTATGATTAAAAATATTTTGAATTAAATTCGTTATGTAACTAAAAATTTAGGTCTATCATTTTGAAAAATGCTCTGAATTAGATTAATGTTGTTTACATAGTTTTGTCAGATACTTACAATTAGGCAAGTTTTAAGTTTATGAGCCAGTTAAGCATTTTTATTTTTTTCCCACGTATCGAAGTTTTTCATTCTAGTTAACTGATCCGTAAAAGTTGAGAATCGAAAAACTTTTTCTGTGGCAGACACGGTAAAAGCTATCAGACAAGTTCGATGTCAGGAGCGTCGGTTTGATGGATGCTCTCTAATCACGGTAAACCACTTTTAACCGGCAATTTTCTTCTTCGCGCTCACTTCATTTAACACATTAAGTACTCTATCTCTTTAAACTCATTTTGAGGTCAAATAATAGTTAATTTTATAAATACTTAAATAAAACTATCCCTATTATAAATACACTATTTATATTATTTGGTAAATTCGTAAATTTCAATGAGCTATATTATGTGTCCCGTATTGTAATGTTTTTTTAGTTTTTTTCGATAGATTTTTTTCGGGAATACTTTAAGGGTTTTCTTCATATAGATTATAACTTCGTTAAGTTTATACACTATACATACGTATACATTTCATATAAAACTTCAGAGAACTATTTTTTTATTGTTGATTTTTACGAGAACTTGAAATTAGA